CTGTCGCTACAAACATGCTTAGTGTGAGGGATTGCCTTCCACTCAATGAGTCGATGCCATCAACTGGTTTTCCTAAGATAGAAAACTTTGAATCAATCTGATTGTATGATCTAGTGAACTGTAAAGTGCCTTGAGATGACATGTTGTGAATTGGTGCTATAGAAATAAACTAAATTGAATTTAATTAAAAACTGTCCTTTAATTGGATGAAATGGAATGAGAGTATTGTGCAATAATTTTGCTGTTTTGAACGTTTCCGACTAATCTTGCTTCAGTTCTAGATCACCATTGAAACCATATTCAATTAAAGGTTAATTTAAAGTCATATTTAAATGTCAAATCATTCTGGCTTAAACATGTATATAAATGTACTCTTTATCAGATGATATTGTCCCAAAATTTAGAACATTTCTATTTTTTTTTTTTATTCCGTCTTAAAATCTGTGTTTTTTTTGTTATCTTATGCATATATATATATATATATATGTATATATATATATATTTATTATTTTAAAAGTCAATGTATAACATGGATGCATAAAAACCTCATTTCATTTCAGTCTTAAATTCTGTTTAAAGAAACAGATTATAATTAAAAATGTCTCCCGACCTTTACCAGTTGATGATGTTCTTTATTCGGACCCCGCTGATTTTTAATTGGTTACCCCTGACCTAACCCTTTCCTAAATTCCTCATTTCCACCTTAAATCAGTTGAACTGAGAGTAAAACCGCAAATAAATCTGAACTGGACGTCATCTTAGAAGATAAACAGATCATATGAATCAGACCAACACTGCAGATACTTTAAACCTTAGAGCCTGCAGGTTATAATGACCGTCACTGTGTTTCTATTCAGAGTATTTCCATCTTGCTGCGTTCTCAGCTGGTGGAACATGAAGCCAGCTGATCTGGTGTAAAGGGAGCGGCTGCTGGTTACTGCAGGGATCCTATCCTACACCATTCACAAACCAAGAGGCAAAATATGCAAAGAAATATTTGCTTTTGAAAAGTTTTTCTCACTTTTATTCATATTCAATTATTAGATTTATTTGGCATCAGAATATTAACCAGGACATTTTAACTTTGCATGCTTTTTACAATGAATAACAAACTTTTCAACAAGCTGTTGATAAGAGAAGAAGAAACCAAACTTGTCAAATGTGTGTGTATATATCATGATTGTTGACTAGCCGATAAATCATACATTTTTCAGTTCCTAGTATCGATTTTAAAAAACAAGACCTAAAGAAATGAGAAAAAATGGGCTACCTCTGCACCGCCAAAGATTGCGCTGTGCGGCGCAGCGAAATATCTGTAGGTGAGGCAAGACGTGGACTGATTCAAACCCACTGATCTGTATTTACTCACTGGATTGCCTGTTGGTTGAACGGGGTTAAAATAAAGCCATCAGTCGCCATATTGGTACTCCCTAGTTAGACCGGTTACAATGTAAACAATACGTGCTCTACAGCATCAAACTTTGGTTATGTTCTCATTTTCATTTTCATAACATAAGTAGATTGATTTAACTTATAATAAAAACACAGGCACATCACAATGCATTGTCATTATGAAGTCAATGAAATCTATAAATCATGTTATATAACATATTATACAAATCCATCACAATAAAATGTATGTGTTAATGGAGCATAATAATACAGATGTGCAAAAAGTCCTAAATTGATGATATACATGTATTAATTACACATTTAATTCAATTCTGTTTATTTCTATTGCAACAATTCACAACCCATGTTATTTCAATGCACTTTACAGTTCAACCAGATCATACAGTCAGATTGATTCAAAGTTTTCTATCTAAGGAAAACCAGCTGATTTAATCTAATCATTGACTCAAATACAATCACTCACACAAAGCATGCTTATAGTGACAGTGCAGAGAAAAATCTCCCTTTTAACAGGAAGGAACCTCCAACAGAACCAGGCTCAGTGTGAGCGGCCATCTGTTGAGGCCGACTGGGGTTCAATGAGACAAAAGCAGAGATACAAAAGGCAACTTTAAACCAGCTCCACAGATGGCCGTGTCCATGAAATACACAGCTCCTATGTTAGAGGGTGAAGAGAGCACATCCAGCCAGTCACAGTCAGAGAAACAGGACTACACTGAAAAACAGGCCGATCTCCATCTATAAACCAAGGTGTTGATGGCAGCAGTGCCCTCTTTCCCGAAAACCTCCTTAAGGTGGACCAGATGGACGTTCTCATGGTGGTTCTGTTTCTAGATCACAGGCTGCAAAAGAAACTCCCAGGATGTTCGGAAAGCTTCTCTCTCTGCTCGGTAACGCTGCAGTCGACTCTGGAGCGGTGAGGGACACGGAGTTGGAGCTCCTGGAGTCTGAGGAGGAGGACTGGGTCATTGTGGACGTCCCAGGTAAGAGATGGAGCCACCTTAGGCTGATGTTCTGCTCTTGTTCTGGTTTTTGGTGATGATGGTTCGAATGTTTGACCTGAAACAGGGGACGGAGCCACGTCGGCCCCTGATGCGGACCCTCTGGAGAACCTGCTGATCGAGCACCCCAGCATGTCTGTCTACCAGACAAGATGCAGGATGGGAGGAGCAGAGGGAGGGGAGGACCTACCCTCTGATGAAGAGGAGGAGGAAGCCTCTAGGTAAACTCCTGCTAGTGATGTAGCGTGATTCAGTCTGCTCAATCCAGCATCGACGTTGTTGAAGCAGAAGTGTCACTGATAAGTGTTTTGAGTTCACCCCAGTTATGTCCCAACTGCAAGCAAGGGCTTGGTTATGTCACACCTCATGTCACAGTAAAATCAAATCATCTGGGCGTTTCAACACTACTCAAGTATTTAAATGCATCAGCATTTTCCTAGTTACTGGTTTATTCAAAGATGGGGAAATAGATGTTATATTTAGGTCTAGTTTAGAATTTATTCTGAATAGTTCACTACATGCAAATGGATCTAAAATAGATAGAGACACAAACACACACACATTTATACCCACCATAGTCATCCTCTGATAATTTTATAACAGATATTTATTCACGCAACATATCTAAACGCTTATTGATGCTTCTCCTGTAATACAATAATCTTCATCCATCAGAAATACGGCAGGAACATGGAGAACCTTTAAGATCTACTGGGTTTGAATTATTTAAACTATCAGGACTATTTAATGGATAATGTCTTTATATAGTTGCAGGTGCAGCCAACTCAAATATTAGGCTGCACAGGCACAAGAAATGTCCTAATTAACGTACATTACCACAAATAAAATGCAGATATGCAATAGAGGAGCCAGGTGGGAGTCGTTCCAAATGTCTCTTTAAACCCGGGAACAATCTGCTTCTATTGGCAGTGCGAACAGCTCATTGACGCGCGTCAACCTGGTTCAAACGACATCTCCAGGTTTTTGTTAAACCTTTTTGATCTGATCTTCATCCCTGTAGGCCTGTCGCTGTCCGGCGACACGTTTCCTGGCGTCTCGCCGCCTGGGGGAGTCCTCTGCCCTGCGGCATGCAGCTGCTGGCTGCCCACAGGTCCAGAAGCCTGGCGGACAGGAAGAAGCTGAGTCGCAGCACCCTCTGCAGGCAGAACCTGGCTAAGACACGGTTCTCAGCGAAGGACAGGAGGTACGGCGGTTTAAGGTGCCCCTCCCCACGCCTGTTCAACTACTGAATGCAGGGATCAAGGTTCGAGCATGAGCCCAGTGATCAGCACCGTCTACCAGCACTCATCCACTCAGGTTCTCTGTTCTACCTTCATCCTGACTCCACAGCAGGACCTTCAAAACCTTCAACCTCATGCCTCTGTCACACCTTTACAATTTAGACCAGGGTATGCCTGATATGGGAATATCTG